TTCAGGTTTGAAAAAGTTGGGCCTGAGCTACAATTTCAGCAAGACATTGTTCTTCTGTAAGAAAAAAATCCCTCTATCTTCCTCTAGAAATGGGAAGAAAGCAGCTGTGGGTCACACACCAGTTTGATATTTGGGACACAGACTCAGTTCCTAACTCAGCCCAAGCAGTCCTTGGCAAGCTGGATCAGCCAGACTACTTTTTCAGTTCACCTTGTAAAACAGAGATAAGGCACTCTGCAGCCAGGGGAGTATCAGGAAAATATGCCTGAAACAGCAACTGTGAGGCATTCAGAGGTCACGGTGCACAGGCAGGAGGAGCAGCATCTAGTACCAGACCTGAGAGCAGCAGAGTGTAGAACACAAATCCCAATGAAAGGCTTCAGCTGAAGGCATCCACATTTCATCCAAAACAACATAAAGGGTGCCTGTCTGGAAAGATATCTACAATCTTTGTGGAAGGAACTGTACAGTTTCCATACTTGTCTTTTACAGGAAACAGGGCATCTTTGCTCCTAACCRTGGATATTGCTGAAGACATTTGCAGTGCAATCCTGAGCGTGAACACTGCTCTTTCAGGCAGCCCTGAGGTAATTTCAGCCTGATTTGGTTGGTACAAGAGCATGGCTCACAGCAGTGGGTATTTCAGCACAGGCTCCGCACACTAGCATCGAACATTGGGGATGGATTTGTCAGCTAAGCACGTGCCACTGCAGTCATGCTGCCCTTACCACGGGTACATGAGGTGAAGCCAGCACATCTTGGTGCTGCATCTGCACATACAGCACAGCTTGGAGTGCTGCAGACTCAAACTGGGCACTGTGAAAGACAAAAGCAGAGCAAGAGTTGGGGGAGGCCTTAGGCAAGCTCTCTGGACTGCTGAGTGTCCGAGTTTCACTCCAAGAATGAGACATCTTTCCTTTTATTGGAAACCATCACTACATAAAATTTTACATACACGTTAAATGCATGCATGCTCCCTGTACACGTCAGTAAKGAACTCATAACTCTTCCACGTTTCTGTTGTTCCTGGACAACCAAAAATGTCACCTTCSTGTCTACTTGTGTTGCACTTTCACCTCGCACTCTAAGCTGCAGCTGGACCATAAAAAGGAAATAAAATTAAAAACTCAGCGTTTGCAACAATCACTTCTTACCTTAATGTCTTCCAGGTTCTTGGCTGGGACGATGCATCCCAAACAATGAAGCAAAAGAAAATGTCCTCTCTCATACAAGCTAGACTTCTGTTTTCCACAAAGCTTTTCCAAGTCCTGATCATGTGGTCATAGCAAGTCCAGTCTCTGACTTCTCCTTTCCTGATCCAGCAAGTAATTGGGAAGCTCAGATTCAACCCAAGTTTAAAACCACGTCACCACCAACCCTCTTTGGATAAGGACTGAGACAGAGGAACCAGGAAGGATTTGATCTCCAACCTACCAAAGCGGGGCTGGAGAAATAAAACCAAAGTCCTAGAACTTTGTGAGCCTGAATGACTGGTGAGCATTGGCCAAGGTAAGCAGTGAAGGTGAAAGCAGAACTTCAAAACAAATATTTTCCTGCATTCCTAAAAGGCTTTTAGTTAAAATGCAGCATTTTAATAAAAACTAAAACAAGTTTTGAAAACTTTAGAAGCCAGAGGCACAAAGAATTTCCAACACAGTCGAGAGAAATTTATCACTGCCTAAATTGAGGGTAGAGAACATATTAATGATGTTGGCTACAAAATAAGGCATGAAATCAAGGCAATTATTTTTTTCTAGGGACATATATTGTAAGGTCCCCTCCCCTTAGTGTCTGCCTTTGCTTCCCCCAGCAGCTTTGTGCTCATGATTATTCTGGAACAAAACCTCACCTCACTGAATTACAGCATTTTTATAAGTTATGCTACATAGGAAGTAATAGCTCAGTAACTGTCAATATGCAGTCCATCTTGTGGGAAACCAGARAAAATACTACAAATGAGAGGTAATTTATGAAAAGAATGTCCGTTGCATCAGCCAGCCCATCTGTGAAGCTTTGTTCATTATGTAGATTATACCACTGACATATGGAAGAGACATTTCAGTACTGTACCACAGATGAAAGGAGTTAGAAGTGTTTTATTTCCCAGCTAGAAAAATCATATGGAGCTCCCCACCAGTTTACAGAGACTCCTAATATGTTTTGCTCTTGTCCTTTTGTATACTTTTTCCTCCAAAACGTAGACTAATTAGAGTGATAAAACAACTCATAAGATGTGACTCACACAGCCCTTAGGAGCACAGTACAGTCCTGCCCTCAGACAGGGAAGCTGCCTATCGTACAGTCCGCAATAAACTTTAGAGCTGGGATCATTCCCATGCATTCTTAGATATCAAGCTTAATTGCAAGGTCAGGTTAGGTAATTCTATTTTTAGATCATTTCCTAGTCACACGCCCAGCCACAAGACTTTGTAGGCAGAAACTGCAAACACAAATGGCTAGTTTTGTTTTTCCCCCCATTGGGACATAGAGCATTAAGGAAAAAATCACCTCCTTGGTGCTTTTCAGAAAATCCTGGCCAGGCTGCGGCTGCCCAATGCCTTCCGTGTGGAATTTGCCTGGAGATACCACACAGACAAGATGTAACTTACTCAGTTCTTAGAAGAACAACACAAACCAAGGATATGGACATGCATATAATTAGGATACAGCAATGCAAGAAACAGCAATATGAAGATCAAAACAGGCTAAAAGCTTAATGAGTGATAAAACCCAACTGCAAGCTTTAGCTGCAATGCAAAGAAAGCCTTGAGGTGGCTTATCCACACCATACCCCTATACCAAATATTTGCACCTGCTGATTGCTTTTATTGACCATGAACCTTTAAAGAAGCTTCTGTTTTTTCACAATCATACACAGAGAGAAGTAGGTGATTTCACTTGGGAGCAAATGAAAAGTAAGCAAGACAAAATTGAGGCAAGCTAATACACTAAGAAACCACCATGTCAATTTACAAATAATATTCCAAAACCCTTCATTTCTTCTGCTGTACCCAGAGATGAAAGTTTAATGTCATTCTCCCTCAACTCCCATGCCAGCTGTTGAACCGCCCACTTGCTGTCCTTATGTTCTGACTGTGATATGCAGAGCAGATGCCAATGGTCCCACATCAAAGATTTCAACCTAAGCAGAGCCCAAGTGCTCCCTGTTCAGCTGTCACAGCCATAGTTTGTTGGRAGTCAGACTATAAATTTCTTTTCTGAAATGCTGTATTTCACCCAGCTTCTGAAAGAGCATTCATCACCCCCTCAGGAAGAAGCAACTAGGCTAAAGGAGACAAACCCACACTCCYCTCTGCAAATGTTTTTACCTAACTAGTGAGAAACGAGGAATGCCTGCATGCAAAAAAATCAAATTCCTCTGGAGATCAAGTATGCTTAGATCTAGCCGTGAGGGGAGCTAATAATATGCAAGCAATACAAACTATTCACAGGCTTAACCCAGCTGCAATCAAGTCAATGTTTTACCTCCTCCTGCCTTCAAGAGGAGAGAAATGTGGGTCTCCGCATATTCCTATGGCTCAGCTCCCTGCTGGAYTGGCTCATTTTCCAGGGATGAGTCTAGGAGCTGCAGCCTGCGTGGGATATAGCCCCAACTATACCTACTTCTTGTTGCAGAGAATTCTGACAGCTCCGTGCATGTGCCTTCCTCCTCTCTAAATGCCCATGTTTGAGGTGAAGGTACTAAATTACATAACTAGCTATACATATCGACCTCAGGATGGACAGAAGGGCTGTAAACCCTGCTTTTTTTTGTGGACCAACAGAAGTGATAGAGGTTTTATCTCRATGTTAACTGGGTGGAGCTGTCATACTAAGAAACCCTGTGAGCTTTAGCTTTCTCTAGAGAAAAAAACTAGAAACATACTGCAGTAATGTACTCTGAAAAGATGCAATTAAGATGCCTTCACATCTTCATCACATACTTACCAGCACAGGCTCTTTCTATATGAGACTGGACTTAACCCAGCAGTCGGAGAGCAGGAATGGAATCCAGAACTCCCGAGTCCTGCCAGCCATTTGTTCCATTTGTTCAACCATCTTGGACGAGCCACCTCATCCACATTTTTTTTTCCAAGCTGGTTACCTGAAATAGGGCCTGATCCAATCCCCCAAAAGGCAAATGGGAAGTTTCCAATCCACTTCAATGGTGCCCATAGACTTATGCTCATAGRCCTCTACATCTATATTTAGGCACTTATATATAGTGGGTAATCTCCTGGGCTTCAGAGACTACCAAGTGCCCCCAGCTGCTGCTGATCTTGGGAGAAGGGGTGGAGGACAGACAACAAATCTGTAGTTCAAAACATTTCTCAGTGGCAGACTGCTGGAGGCCAGGAAAGTAAGTTAATGAAAGTACCATAGCTTTCTTAACCTGTTTTATGCTTCTCACAAGKCAGCCCCAAACCAGACAAACCGGAGATACTTAAACTTTATATGACTCGGTTGCAATCATGAAAACCAGAATTGTAGGGAAAGATCAGAGGAAGAGATGCAAATCACTGAAAAAGCTCTGCATAATCACAGAACACATGGCCTACTGCAATATCCTCCTTGTTATATTCAGCATATACCTAGGAAGAGCCACCATCCTCCTTGTTCCGACTTCAGAGAAAGCTCTGAGAGAAACTTTCTTCTCTAAAGACCAGCCATCCCAACCCTGTCCATTTAAAGTACAATTCTGCACGGTAAAGGAWAGTGTGGAAGGCCATTGAGTTGGTACTCTGCAGTAGTCAAAGCACATCATCAGTTCCAGGACCTTTCACAGACAGTTAGGGGGAAGAGCAACAGGCATGTGGTTGGCACTCTTCCATTGCAACCAGAATGACCAAAGCAGGAGACCAACAGGCAGAGATGCATAAGGAAAGACAGGGCTCCTATTCTTCAAGACAGAGTTTATGCAACTTCTTGGCATGCATCTTTTCAATTATGGCTTTGGGAATTACACTGCAAAACCTCTAAATTATGGAAATATAGCTTACCTTACTTTCTACATGAGATGCCTGCTTCATATCGGGGCAACAGTAGAAGATGCCAGCCTATAAAAAATAAAAATAAAAAATAAAGTTAGTCTGTGTTGTTTCTTACCATCTTGTCTACAAAGTTTGTGTTCATCATGCTTTTCAAATTCAGATCTTTCCCTCATTTGAAATCTGCTAACTTGAGTAGCAGGAGAGTCCTCAACATTTTCCTGGAACTCTCCAACAGTTTCCTGTTGGACCTTTTACTACCATGAATCTCTCCTTGGCTTCCCATGCCTAGATCTTCAGACATATTTTGTTTATAGGCATCATTGCTGATATGAGCCATAGCATGCTGATTACCAAGATAGGCCAATGTTAGACTGCAGCCATGCAAACATGCAGTCTAAAAACTCTACGTAGACAGATGCACAAGTAATGCAGGAATAAATCTGGAAAACCAGGCTACAATCTATTCATTTATTCTCCTTCACTAGTATGCCTTGAATTTGGTAAAAGGACACCTAAATTTCAATAAGCTTTTAAATCTAACAATAGCACAGAACATGTATTACCCAAGATCTACCTCAGCTAGGAAATAAAGTTTCCTTTTGCAAGTAATACAGGACACACGTAATTTAGGCAATAATAAAACCAGTCAGTAGAACTATATTGTCCTATGTATAGTGCAATTCTACACGAACWCCTACCTACATGTCAAGTTAAGCCTGCCTTCAGGAGGACATGAAGAATCCTCTTTCCAATTGAATAACACAGCACTTTGTGCCATTTTGGCAGAAAGGGGAAGACCAAAATGAAATTCTCAATAGGAAGATAGTAGCTTTTTCCTTTCTGAAAGGAAATTTGAGAGATGACAGACTTAAACTCAAGAGTAGTGGCTTTCTCTGCTCCACATCATTCCCAAGGCCACTGCGCTCAGTAACTGAAATGCAGCAGCTATAGCATGGGGCTATAGAATAACATCTGGAAAGAGCCTTGAGAAACCTGAGGCAACTACTACCTGGGTTTACTGGAGACCAGCAAGACATGACAGTAGGCCTCAACCAACGGCGAGAAGCCATGGAAGGTCAGGTGCCCCAAGCTGCTTCACAACACAACGGAGCTATCTCATCATCTGCTAGTAAGRGCAAGGGCAGCAGTTCTGCTCTGTGACTTGGAAAAAGAGGCAGCTACTGCAAGGAAGGGAGGGAAATCTCATCCCTGCTCATCTGGAGCATGACCTCAAAGTAGTGGTGAAGCAACTGCAAGTTCACCTTGTCYGATACAACCCTGCTTCACCACAGGAATGAGAGGAGTGAGGAACTGCCTTTTGCCTTTTCCATCAGCCTTATGATAGGCAGATTAAATTTCACACTGACCTAGTTCTACCATGGCAGGAAAAAGATTCATGAATGAAACCATGATTGATGTTTTCCCTTATACAAGAATTTTGATTGTGAKTTGATCTATCCTTTAGTTAAGCATACCTTGGCCTAATGTCCAAGGTGACCACTTGACTTTTCCCRTTTACAAAAAGTCATCCTCTTATAAAGCTCATTTAACTTTCCTTGTCCATTTCTCCCTTACCCAAAAAGGAAGCAAGGAAAAATATATTGTATAAGATCCTTAGAGGGGAAAAAATAAAAAGAAAACATAGCAGTTCTCAAGGGCAGAGCAAGAGTCTGGACTTGTAAAAATACTCAGGCAAGAGTCCAAGTGAAAGGCCCAGTCTTCAGAACAACTAAACAAAGAAGGGCAGGATTTTGTCCCACGTCAGTCTTTAGAGGACAGTGAGAACAAGCAGAACTTTGGTCCCAAAGCATTCAACATCAGAAGGCGTGAAGAATGGCCTCCTCCAAGAAATTTGGAAGTGAGCTCCAGGAATCAACTGCCAGCCTGAGGAGAGGGGAGGAGAAAGGTAACCCAGATACAGACCAGTGAACATCAGCTTATTTTTAAACCTGTTCTACAACCAAAAGCTGCAATGCCACAGCAGAAAGGGGTGGCTTTAGGGCTTATGTCCCTTGACTGTGTTTGCTTCCAGTGTGTTACTTTATTCCCCAAGACAAACTATGAGACTCTTTCTTAAAGCAAACATCTGAGATCAAGTCAGTCAGCCCTGACCAACAAACTTGACCCAAACTCAACCATTCTTCAATGTATAAACAAGGAATAGAGGCTTTTTGCTGCACTCCTCAAACTCAACTAGCCATAGCTGACAAGCATTCAAAGCCTTAAGCTATGCAAGGGACAGAAGGGCTCTAACACAGCCACATCTGTTAAATTCTCACTCACTGGTAATACACATGCTCAAAACACAGGGCCATTAACTTCCACGGGAATTTATTTTTCTCTTCAAGAGAATCATCTGTTTCTGCAAATCCTGTTCATTTCCACCCTCAAATTCCAGATTGTGCAACTTACACAACACCTCCTCTTATAAGCCAAAAAGGAGCAGAATACTAGCAAAAGAACAGACATTGGTTTCCTTGTCTGCTTCTTGCAATCTCATCAGCTGCTGCTGATGTAAAACTTACAAATGATTTAATTGACACTCTTTGCTAAGTATTTTATAGGTCTATCTTGATTTGGTTTCATAAAGTGTGCAAGCAGACGACGGGCCATTAGTGCTACAGAGCCAGCTGCAACAAAACTGTATAAGAATACTAGACAATACCTCAAACCATCATCTTGAGTCTTTCTGCACTCCTCCATCTCCCCATTAACCCCTCTGGCACTACCAAAGCAAACCAAGGTCTCCATGGYCATTCCAGAGGACACATCAAAGGAAAGACCCATTCTGAAGAACTGCGTCCTCTGCAGAAGGAAAAGTGCTGGATCTCAATGCACCAGTAACTGTTAGGACCCTTGCCCATCCTAACATTTCCCACCACAACCACCTTCYGCATCAGCCAGTTTTCTTCACCAAGAGAAGCACAGAGGGAGAGGTTGTTCCTTGCAGGGGTTTTTGAAGGGAAGCAGAGKGAGGAATGTTCTTTTCCTCCCTCCAACCAACATCCAGCCTGCTGGCACACTGCTCCTCACAAAGAGGGGAGAAAAGTGGGCAAATGGCACAGACTACCAGGGGACAAAGACTTTAAAGGTGGCACAATGTTGTGAGCAGAGAGCCTCTCATAAGGAAAGCAGAAAGGTGTCACCAGCCTTTTTTTTTGTCACAGCATTATGTGGCAGCACAGAGTGACTGCAGTGTCCTGAGGAAATTCAGATCCAACTCTGCACTGGTGTCAGTCATGTCAGAACTGGGCCAGGGTGCACAAACAAGCATTCTGCTGCTATGCCACAATGCAAGCAGGCTCTTCTCCATATTTGTGCCTGCAAAGTGTTGCCCACAATCAGAAACAAACTTCTGTGCAACGCAAGTACCAGTTACAAACCTCCTTTAATTGCACTCAGAAATATGTTTTTAGGAATCACTCCAAGAAGTCAACGCAACTTCCTCCTTTAAAAGCGATAGTAAAATGCAAAAAAAAAAGGCATCTGATGGGTTGGGAATGAAGAAAAATAAAAATGTGCTGATTTGCTCAACTGCTGGAAAAGTGACTACTGGTACAAATAAAATTTTAAAGAGACCTGTTAACATTTTAAAGACTGTGTGGTTGGAAAAAGCAACTTTGTTACTTTTCTGTTACTCTTCAGTTTTATGAAAACCCTATTTTTCAGCAGCTGTAAATCCCTATCTCCTGTTTAGTGCCATTAAAAAGCTCAAAAATTAACTTAATACTTAACAGTTTTAAATACCAACTGGAAAGGCAACAAGCCTATTAAGGAGATGTGATGGCTATTGCAATGATTTTACATATTCCATCATGTGTCAGGTGGGAAGGCCTTTTTTTTTTTAAGAAAATTCCTTCTATTGACTCTGGATAACCTTCTGTTGCTGACACCTAGCAAAAGGGAAGAGCAGGCTACAAGATAAAGCACAGAAGACCTGAAAAACTGAATTAATGTTCCTRCTACAGCTCCACGGCACGTGACTACAGCACTTGAACAAATATGTCAGATGATATCCTTAAACATATCTCCTATTCTTATGTGTCCAACCTAAGGGACAAAGGGGAACAGGCTTTCCTAGATGTCCAACTTCATTTTTGAGCTGCAAAATGAGCAGCAAAAACTTCGTTTTTGAGCTTGCAAATCCTCAAAAATACACACACACACACACGCATTTTGTTCAAGGTGATAAGATCCCTCTCAGTCTTCTCTTCTCCAGGCTAAACAGGCCCCACTCRCTTAGTCTTTCCTCATACAAGAGACGTTCCAGTCCCTTAATCTTTGTAGCTCTGCGCTGGACCCTCTCTAGAAGCCCCATGTCTCTCTYGTCCTGGAGGGCCCAGAACTGCACCCAATACTCCAGGTGCAGCCTCACCAGAGCTGAACAGAGGGGCACRATCCCCTCCCTTGACCTACTGGCAACATCCTCCTGATGCAGCCAGGATCCCATCGGCCTTCTTGGCCACAAGGACATCCCTTTTTAGAATTCCAAGTTACCATAAGCAAAACAAAAGTTTGGCTTTAATACATTACCAGAAATTCTTTAAACCCCAGTGCCTACAAACAGAACAATCAGAAAGCAAGAGCTCCATTCCCAGCACAACTCATCCTCAGTTTTTTTCTGAAAAGTCTAAGAAGTTTCTGTCTTGGACAGCTATCATGTAGTTTTGGCCTCTTGGTTTAGAAGTGATGAACATCTCATCTATTCTTCTCTTCATCTAGAAGTCTATAATAAAAAATTACTGACACAAACTAGTACTGTCTGAACTTTCTTCATTTTTCAAGCAAGTCTGACAAGAATTACRACAAAGACACTTCCTTTCTCAAAAAATCTCATGCTGTCAAGTCTTATTGACTACTTTTGCTGGCCAGCATCTTACTTTGGTCAGCAAATCCTCAACAGGGCAGCCAGAAATCAGCTTTGGTTCTACGCTGTGTTATTCATGCATGAATCGTCTTGATGATGATCACGCTAAAGCAAAAAGGCAGACAGCTTTTACAAGCRCTACTGCCATAAACTTTGTGGTGTCCAAAAGTCATTTACTTACAAATCAAGCAAGTTTACT